CTGTTGGTGTTGGTGAATTTGAAGCTGGTATCTCCAAGAATAGGCAGACCCGAGAGCATACCCTTCTGGCTTACACACTGGGCGTGAAACAACTAATTGTTGGTGTTAACAAAATGGATTCTACCTAGCCACCCTACACCCAGAAGAAATATGAGGAAATTGTTAAGGAAGTCAGCACTTATATTAAGAAAATTGGCTACAACCCCATCACAGTAGCATTTGTGCCAATTTCTGGTTGGAATGGTGACAGCATGCTAGAGCCAAGTGCTAACATGCCTTGGTTCCAGGGATGGAAAGTCATCTGTAAGGATGGCAATGCCAGTGGAACCATGCTGCTTGAGGCTCTGGACCGAATCCAGCTGACACCAGCTCATCCAACTGACGAGCCCTTGCACCTGCCTCTCCAGGATGTCTACAAATTGGTGGTACCGGTACTGTTCCTGTTGGCTGAGTGAAGACTGGTGTTCTGAAACCTGGTATGGTGGTCACCTTTGCCCCAGTCAATGTTACAGCTGAAGTAAAATCTGTCGAAATGCACCACGAAGCTTTGAGTGAAGTTCTTCCTGGGGACAATGTGGGCTTCAATGTCAAGAATGCATCTGTCAAGGATGTTCATCTTGGCAACGTTGCTGGTGACAGCAAAAACGACCCACCAATAGAAGCAGCTGACTTCACCACTCAGGTGATTATCCTGAACCATCCAGGCCAAATCAGCACTGGCTATGCCCCTGTACTGGATTGCCACATGGCTCATACTGCATGCAAGTTTGCTGAGCTGAAGGAAAAGATTGATCACCATTCTGGTAAAAAGCTGGAAGATGGCCCTAAATTCTTTAAGTCTGGTGATGCTGCCATCGTTGATGTGGTTCCTGGCAAACCCATGTGTGTTGAGAGCTTCTAGGACTATCGACTTCTGGGTCGCTTTGCTGTTCATGATGTGAGACAGACAGTTGCCATGGGTGTCATCAGAGCAGTGGACAAGAAGGCTGCTGGAGCTGGCAAGCTCACCAAGTCTGCCCAGAAAGCTCAGAAGGGTAAATGAATGTTATCCCTAATACCTGCCACCCCGGTCTTAATCGGTGGTGGAAGAACAGTCTGAGAACTGTTTGTTTCAACTGGCCATTTAACTTTAGTAATAAAAGACTGGTTAGGGATAACAATGCAACATAAAACCTTCAAAAGGAAAGGAGAATGTTTTGTGGACCACTTTGGTTTTCTTTTTTGCGTGTGGCAGTTTTAAGTTACTAGTTTTTTAAATCAGTACTTTTTAATGGAAACAGCTTGACCAAAAATTTATCACAGAATTTTGAGACCCATTTAAAAAGTTTAATGCAGAAAAAAAAAGAAACTGTGGCATGTATATATATACAATGGAATACTGCTCAGCCATAAAAAAAAGTAATGATTTAACAGCATTTGCAACAACGTAGATGAGATTGGAGAAAACTGTTCTAAGTGAAGTAACTCAGGAATGGAAAACCAAACATCATATCTTCTCACCAATATGTGGGAGCTAAGCTATGAGGGTGCAAAGGCATAAGAATGATACAATGGACGTTGGGAACTTAGGGGGAAGGTTGGGAAGGGGTGAGGGATAAAAGCCTACAAATAGGGTGCAGTGTATACTGCTCGGGTGATGGGTGCACGAAAATCTCACAAATCGCCACTAAAGAACTTACTCATGTAACCAAATACCATCTGTACTCCAATAACTTATGAAAAAATTAAAAGTAAATTTTTAATGTTTAAAAAAGTAAAATTAGTGACTAAAAAAGGAAATTGCATGCAGTCTGTCTGTCGTCTATCAATCTAACATCTATCATCTAAGCACCCATCCATCCATCACCTATCTATCTATCTATCTATCTATCTATCTATCTATCTATCTATCTATCTAGCTATCTACCTACCTACCTACCTACCTATACATCTTACCTATCTACCTATACATCCGTTTAAGAACAATTTTCTGGGAGGAGGATTGATAATTTTCATTAAATCAGCAAAAATTGTCCAGTACCGAAATTATGTTGAAACTTAGTGCCAGAAAGTTATTTCTTCCTTCAAGAAAATTTAGACTAAGGATGATTGCCTATGACCTAAATTGTCAATAGTTCATGGAACAAGATGTGTATATTTTGCTCTTTCTTTCTTATTCTCTTCTTCTCCTTCCTTCCTTCTTCTTTCCTTTCAACAGCATCTCACTCAGTCACCCAGGCTGGATTACAGTGGTGCCATCACAGCTCACCGCAGCCCCGAACTCCTGGGCTGAAGTGATCCTCCCACCTCAGCCTTCCGAGTAGCTGGGAATGCAGGCATGCGCCACCATGCGCAACTAATTTTATTTTTGTTTTCTGGCACAGACAGGGTCTCACTTTGTTGCCCAGGCTGGTCTTGGACTTCTGGCTTTAAGCTATTCTCCTGCCTCAGCCTCCCGAAGTGCCAGGATTACAGGTGTGAGCCACTGTGCCAGCCTGTTTTGCAGCTTTCTTAAGAAAGCACAGTTGAGAAGAGAAAACACTAAGAGCTTGACACATGCCAGCTACTGTGCTGGGAGCTTTTTCAAGTGTGACTTCATCTGATCCTCATAAATACTCACTTTCAAATTAGAATGACTCTCCTCCACTCAGAGATGTACATATATAGTCTACATTCCCATATCCTTGAACTAGTGATGCAACTTATCATCAATAAGGTCTTGCAATAGCTGTCAGACAAGCAGAGTGACATAGCTGCTGTCGCTTGTACAGGGACAAACTAAGTCTTCAGGTTAATATTCTTGACACTTCAATTAAGTTGTGTGGATTGCTTATGTTTCATGTGTTGAGTGTAATTGTCATTTTAAATATCAGAAAACACCATGATTTGGCTCGTGTGTTGTGTGTGCAGAATGACACATTAGTAGAAGACCATGATGTAAATTTACTGTTAATGAAGCATATACTCATTGTTTTAGGAATAAACCCAGGTACATATTTTCTTGCAAATCAATAACCAAGTGCTTTATGGGGCACAAGAAGACAAAGGGATGAAGAGTATCACATTTTGTTTCTGAGATAGGCACCAAAGGATTGCCTAGCACAAGGAAAACAACATGGCCCATGTATACATATGTAACAAACCTGCACGTTGTACACATGTACCCTAGAACATAAAGTATAATTTAAAAAAAAAGAAAGAAAGGCAGAAGGAGTTGTCAAAATCTCTAGGAGTAGATGAAAGAAAATTCAAAGAAAGAAGGGGCTAGTGTCACCAGTTCAATGATAACTTGCAGCACGGGTGTCAGCAGCTTAGAATAAAGCCAAACTCTGCATGACCAGTGCTGTTGGTAGAACTGAGAACGATGTTGTGTAAGAAAGCACAGGAACCAATCTGGGGTTGAAAGATGATTCATAGGAGGCAGTCTCCAAATGTGGAGACATTTTAAGAAATCTTTAACACATTTGTTTCCCACATATTTTTATTTTTCTATTTGCCTTCCAAAAGTCTATGTCTCAACAGAGCAAGAAGCTCTGTTAATAAGTATAAACATTCTAAGTGATGAGATTGCATCTTAGAGTTGTAAAACAACAGTGTGTCTTTCAATGACATCTTAGTATTAATGAGATACAACATTAAGGATAATTTATCTAAATGATTATCATTATAAAATGTATTAAAAATTATCCCTTCAAGTTGCCCCTCGCCACTTCTGTAAGATGAAAAGTTAAGTACACATTAACTTCCCAATGCCCAATAGTCAAGCTGAAGTTTCATCTGGAAGAAGAATGATAATTGTATATTAAAGATATTATTATTTGTCCTTTGTAATTTACCTAATCAAACTCGAACGTTTCTTTTTAACATTTGGTAGTAAACAAGCTGACAGCCTGGGCTCACTAGGAATCTTCACATTGTTGGCCTTCTTAGGTTCCGGGGTAGGGAAAAGCAGCCTTGTGCATCTAAACCACACCCCACACCTCCGCACATGTAGAGGAAGCTAAGAACGAAGCTCAGAAAAGGAGAACCATTTCAAAGGCTATGGTACAGGCTGGATGAACTCATCCCTGTGCTGTGCCAGCAAGTGGAGGATGGAAAGTCTGGCCAATCCTTAGACATTTTCTGATGGAATCATCACACACCCATGAAGGCTGAGGTCCTTTCCACAGCTTTGGGATTATTTGAAATTGTCCAAGCCCTTCCTTAGCTGGCACTTGCCTGGCAGGCCTCAGTTTGCCCCGCCCTTCCCTTCCTTCTGTCTGCACACCTAAGTACTACACACATCTAAGTACTACATCACATATCATTGGCCACTAATATAATATGATTATGAAAAGCAGGTGTTTAGTACTTTCCCTGACCATGTAACTAAGATGCTTGAGGTCTCTGAATCCTTGCACCAAGCACACCAGGAGATTTGGGCCATTGCTATTCTCCACCCCCACCCCCCTTATTGAAGTTTCCAGAGCCATGGCTCATCTGCTAGGGCAGGTGACAACTCTAATGACTCCAGAGCAAAAAACAAAGTGGCTTCAGAAAGGGTCCCCTTGACATTTCCAGAGACATCGTGCTTGGGGAATTTAGAAGAAACAAGCATTAGGAAGGGAAGAACGTGAAACCAGATGGCGAAGTGGCTGAAGTATTCTCTCTGATTGGAGCTTAGTTGGGCACTCTCTCCTCAGCAATGCCAGAGCTCGAAAACTCTTAGAAGCCTAACTTGGAGTAGGACCAACCTACGTTCATTCACCCTGAGGTCTGGGAACAGTATACAGAGAATGCAATTAGTCAGTCTGCAATATTCGGCTCTCTGGTCCCTTACGCCACCCAGTCTCCTCCTTACAGAAACTAAGGAATGTGCTTGGGAGACTTCAGTTACTTTCAAGGAGTGTGCTTGGGAGACTGCAGGTGGCACGATCAGCAACCGTCCAATCAGTAAACTTACCAGGGTAACAGACAAGCCCATTTAGCCTGCATCCATAAGTTCCAGCCTTTTACCCCTCTCCTTTAGTTCTCTGAGAGCCTCTTTGGAAGCATGATGCCACGATGCTGCATCTTGGGTAAGTAGGACCCCAAATCCAAAAATCATCTCATCCCATCCCCAGTGCAGCTCCCAAACCTCAACCCAATTCATTCCCCTTTATCCCTAACATTATTCCAGCCTCCTGTTCCCTCCTAGTTATCTCAAAGCGTGACGAGCGTGCTGCTCAGAGCCTGCCTGAACAGGATCCCATACAGATTTAGCCCCAAGTGATAATCTCCACCTTTAAACCACCCTAACCCCTGTTTTTTTTTTTTCCGTTTGTTTGTTTCCGTACTTGTCACATTCTCAGCTCCATGTTCAACTTTTTTCTTTCTCCCTTAGTTCTTGTCTGGGGGATAACAGTCTTCCTCTCCCAGTGTTCACAAGGAACTACAGGTAAGTACAGGACAGGGAAGAAAGAAAAGGGAAGAGGTGATGGGAAGAGAGACCGGGAATTGAGTATCTGTTCTTCCTTGGATGCACACCATCAATGTCTGTCCCCAGATGCTCCTGTTGACTCAGGACCATGGCTGTGCCAGCCGGCGCCCAGGTGTGGGAACAAGATCTACAACCCTTCGGAGCAGTGCTGTTACGATGATGCCATCTTGTCCTTAAAGCAGACCCGTCGCTGTGGCTCCAACTGCACCTTCTGGCCCTGCTTTGAGCTCTGCTGTCCCGAGTCCTTTGGCCCCCAGCAGAAGTTTCTTGTGAAGCTGAAGGTTCTGGGTACGAAGTCTCAGTGTCACTCATCTCCCATCTCCCGGAGCTGTATCGGGTAAAGGCCCCTACCTTGCTCTTAACTAAAGGTATGAGGGAGGGATGAGGGACACAGAGGGCTTGAAGGGGAACTCCTGTTTGTGGAGTTCTAATAAGGGCAGAAGAGTCAGCCTGGTGGGAGCAGGGGAAAGCAAAAAGAAGAAGCAGATAAGCTATAAGTCTGCCTTTCTTCATGGTCCAGGACGAATAGCCCTCCTGTATAAATAACTCACAAACTTCTTGCACCCAGCTATCACCAGATCCTCAGCTGGTAGAAAAATACAAGTCATGCAGTTGCCTTCCTGATGTAAAAACCTAACATGCTAAATAATCCAGTGTCGGGAAGACAAAGATGCTTTGCTTCTCTGAAGAAGTTTATAATAATATACAGTATATGTATATGCAGGGAACAATTGGTCAAAAGTGGATTTTGGTTTCCCCAAGGGAAAAGACTGGCTTTGTAATTGTAATTTTTTCGTTATTTTACTTAAAACTGGTAGAGTCTAAGTATTGTATGAAGTGCCCATGATTCTGTCAGTAAATTTGAGCATATTTTTATTAGTTAATGTCCCTTTTGTTTGTTTCTATTTTTAAGGTGAATTTTTAATTCTACCTGAAACCAGTTAAGATACCTTGACAAAAACTGCAATGAGAGGAGGTAACCTATCCTTTTTCAGGAAGAACTGATATCTCTGGCTAAGTATTTCTCCTTTTATTATGGTTTCTAAATCAGTTATTTTCTTCAGCTTTAATTTCATAAAATTAAAAAACTATAAAAAAATTCCGGTAGCTGTTGGAATAATTAAAGGAAAACAGTATGGCGATTCCTCAAGGATCTAGAACTAGAAATACCATTTGACCCAGTCATCCCATTACTGGGTATATACCCAAAGGATTATAAATCATGCTGCTATAAAGACACATGCACACGTATGTTTATTGCGGCACTATTCACAATAGCAAAGACTTGGAATCAACCCAAATGTCCATCAGTGACAGACTGGATTAAGAAAATGTGGCACATATACACCATGGAATACTATGCAGCCATAAAAAAGGATGAGTTTGTGTCCTTTATAGGGACATGGATGCAGCTGGAAACCATCATTCTTAGCAAACTATCACAAGAACAGAAAACCAAACACCGCATGTTCTCACTCATAGGTGGGAACTGAACAATGAGATCACTTGGACTCGGGAAGGGGAACATCACACACCGGGGCCTATCATGGGGAGGGGGGAGGGGGGAGGGATTGCATTGGGAGTTGTACCTGATGTAAATGACGAGCTGATGGGTGCTGACGAGTTGATGGGTGCAGCACACCAACATGGCACAAGTATACATATGTAACAAACCTGCACGTTATGCACATGTACCCTAGAACTCAAAGTATAATAATAATAAATAAAAAATAAAATAAAATAAAAAAAATCTGGTGCAGTGGTGGTATACCAATCTTTAGAATTCTTAAATATTCTAATGTTTCAAGATGAGGTCATGCTTGGGAAAATCATGTCATAGCATTTACGTTACTTTCAAATGTCATTTTTTGACCCTGGAAAGAAGTCATAATGTTCATCATAATGCTAGCAGCCTGGATAGTGAGCTAAACAAACCCTTGGAAGATTAAATTTTAATCAAGTAGACTAGGAAAACAAAAAACAAATCCTTCCTCCCCTTCCTCCCACCTTTACAATCTTACTGGAAGGGTGTTCAGAAATTAAAATTTGTGTTTGCTAAGACTTTATTCTGTTGGGGGTTTTAAGAGGTAATACATGTAATGTAAAATGTATGTAAACCATTGCAAGTTTCTGGGGCATTTTTCCATGCATCAGTAAGATGTCTGATGGTAACTGAATGTAACTTACAGAAAGTAACTAGAAGTGACATTCAGAAAAATAGCAATCAGGCCTTGGATGTTCTTTATTAAACTCTTTTCAGGCATTAACTTTACCAAAAAAATCTGTCATTTTCTAAAGTTCTTTTACTAAAACCGTTGACTATGGAAAACAACAAAAAGGAATTTTTTAGTCTGCTGCTATTATTAACATTTATTATCTGTATCTTTTGGCTCAGGAAATGACTTCACCTATTCATTCCATAAGCCGGTCTTTAACAGGTCACCTAGCTAATTGGGCTGTGTAAACAGATGTGCTGGGAGAAAATTATAATATTTAGTATTTGTCCTAAATATCAAAAATATTTTGACAAGTTTCTTTTTAAGATAGTTTCTAAAGCCTTACCCTGGCTAAAGATGTTTTGTACAAATTATATATAGCCTGCCTAATCTACTAACATGGCACAGAGAATCACAATTAACAATGTGGGGAAAGTCAGGGCAGTGGAAGTGGATGTATACTTTTTATTTTGAGGGCTTCAACCAAATTGCCTTGGAGTTAAAGGTGTATTTCTGCAGCTTTCAGTATAGAGAAAAAGAAGAAAGTGAAGCTGTGTCAGTTTTAGCATTAGCTATATCACAGCAAGTTTTAAAAAGATAAATGAAGTCATTTGCATAAAGGTACAGCATTGAAATACTATGTTGTGTTTGTTTTTACATTTTTACATTTTAAAAATGCAGTAAAAGCCAAGTTAAATTTCTTTCTTTTTTCTTTTTTTTTTTTTTGAGACAGAGTCTCACTCTGTTGCCCAGGCTGGAGTGCAGTGGCCAGATCTCAGCTCACTGCAAGCTCCGCCTCCGGGGTTCACGCCATTCTCCTGCCTCAGCCTCCCGAGTAGCTGGGACTACAGGCGCCCGCCACCTGGCCCGGCTAGTGTTTTGTATTTTTTGGTAGAGACGGGGTTTCACCGTGTTAGCCAGGATGGTCTCGATCTCCTGACCTCGTGATCCGCCCGTCTCGGCCTCCCAAAGTGCTGGGATTACAGGCTTGAGCCACCGCGCCCGGCCTAAATTTCATTTAAAAAAAGAAAAATGCAAATCAGCTCACTGCAACCTTGCCATTATCAGTATTGTAAGTAGCTCCCTCCAGCACAAGCACCATCCTATAAAATCCCCAGCAAGCCTTTGTCTCTTTGCAGTCAGCTCCCCACTTGCTGTTTTGCCTTTGCTTTCTTGCAACATATTTTTCTACTTTTGCTTTAAAAATCTGCCTTTCTTTACCTACAACTGTCTTGGTGAATTCTTTTTACTACCCACGTGACACCAACCCTAGATAATCATCACCTGAGACACTGTTGTTTTATCTCTGGCTAATTCTGAAATCTTTCCTCTCTTCTCCTTGTCTTTGTCTCATAATTCCTCAATTTTTCTTTCTTCACAGTTGAGAGGAAATAATACTCATCTCAGTGAGTTGTTGAGATGCATCTTGGGAAGATGCTCAGGCTATGAGTGTGGGAGTGAGTGGATGGGAGGAAAATCTTAGAAATTTTCTTTTCTTCTTCTTATTTTTTTTTTTTCAAGACAGGATCTCACGTTGTCATCTAAGCTGGAGTGCAGTGGCATGATCTCAGCTCACTGCAGCCTCAATCTCCTGGGCTCAAGTGATCTTCCTACCTCAGTCTCCTAAGTAGCTGGCACTACACTCACATGGCACATGCCACCACATCTGGCTAACTTTGTTTTTTTTTTTTTTTTTTGTCTTTTTTTGGGACTATAGGACTGGAACTTTCTAAGCACTGACAAATGTACATGTTCCATCAAATGTGTATCTTGAAATGTAGGCTGGGCGCAGTGGCTCAAGCCTGTAATCCCAGCACTTTGGGAGGCCGAGACGGGCGGATCACGAGGTCAGGAGATCGAGAGCATCCTGGCTAATACGGTGAAACCCCGTCTCTACTAAAAACACA